GGGCTGGCGGATGGACACACTGTCGCCAGGGTTCACCACCCCGAAGCCCAGATACAGGGGCTCTGTGAAGCTGGCTTGGAAGCGGTGCAGCAGGGCCATGGTGTCCGAGACGCTGTAGATGGACAGAAGCCCCCTGCTGTGGTCCAGGAACACTCCCACCCTGTGTGAGCGAGGCGCGGGGACCGCCGTGGACTGGTTGTCGTGCCAGGCGGAGTACCCCGAGGCCGAGCACAGTACGCCCCAGGACTTGCTGCTGCGCCCCAGGCCGGCGAGCAGGCCCTGGCCCCTCCTCCCCATGCTCCTGTACGCCACACCGACGAACACCTCCCTGCCGGCCCACTCCACCTCCCAGTAGAAGCGCTTCCCTGTCAAGGCCTCTCGGCACAGCGCCTGGTAGTAGCTGTCGAAGCGCTCCGGGTGCGAGGGGTAGGGCTGCACCTTCCTCGTGCGCACCAGCCTGCGGTTCCCCTCGGACAGGAGCAGGTTGGGGTGCACTGTGTTGGGGTCCAGGAAGAGCTGGCAGCAGCCTGAGCGCAGGGGAGAAACACGAGAGGGAGAGAAGTTAAAACTGCTCCCTGGAGTCTCACCCCCAAGGCAGCTCAGCTCCCAGGCCCCTCTGATGTTCTCCAGCTGGTGGGCCATGATGGAAGAGATCCATCCATTCTCTAACCACTTCATCCAGAACAGGGTCATGGGGGAGCTGGAGCTTATCCCAGCATGCAACAGCTGCCAGGCAGGGTACGCCCTGGACAGGACGCTAGTCCATGACTGGGCGAACATACACACACATGTTCACAGTCTCTCACAGCAGGGACATTTTCCCCACAAGCCAATTAACCTACCAGTATGTCTGCGGGCTAGGGGAGGGGGGTACCAGAGCACACAGAAGAAACACACGTGAATACTGGAAGAACACGCAAGCTCCACACAGACAGCACCCCAGGAATCGAACTGCGCCATCTTGCTGCCTGACCCCACCCACTGACCCAAAACTAAAATGCATCGAAAATAAAAGCAAAAACTCACATTTCAAAAACTCCGCTCTGTTCCTGGGCTCTGGAGTGGTCTGCAATCTACTCACTTCGTGGAAGACAGAGGAAACAAGAGAAAGACACCTGTGAAATGACTCACAGACAACCAGGATGAACCAGCAGCCCCAGCTTCCCCCCAAACTCCAGCACTCTGGCCCCTGATACAGATGAGCTGCTGATACAGAGGAGCTCTTTACAGCAGATGTTAGGTGAGAAATATCTGAGGCCATGCTGTAAGCTGTGTTTAACAGCCTCCCTGCTTGAGGTCAGTACAACAGTACAGTTCAACAGCCCCAGTGGAGGTCAGTAGAGAGTAGTAGAGAGCATAAAGCTGGTTTTCCTGTGTGCTGGCAGCTCAAACGTTTCTGAGCAGCGTGCTCACTGTGTACTGACAGTTACCGTTGTGTAACAGGCTGCTTGATGTGTCTTCAGTCCAGCCTGCTGGGACTGATGTAGCCCTGCAGACACTCTCCAGAAGCTCCCTCATGTCAGAGACGGCCTTCCTCACCGCCGCCAGGGAGAAGTCTGGCCGGGCCGGGCTGGAGGGGGCGCGGCAGGGTTCGGGAGGGGAGTGCGCGGGTGGGACGCTCTGCGGCACAGAACAGAAGACACGTTCCCTGCTCAAGAAAACGCCATTTGTGGTTCTAACAGAATCTAAAGCTGATTATGGGAATAAGCTCATCAATTAATATTTTAAAACCTGAGTCTGTCCTGGTGTGGGTGCCTGACTGCTCCAGGGGAACCTGGGAGGGGCCTCTTTCAGAACCGTCTGACCCCCTGACACGAGAGCTGTGTGGGTTTCAGATGTCAGCCACTGTGGTGCTAGCGCCTCCCCCTGGCGAGCTGCGGCACTGTGGGACCAGCTCAGGGAGTGATTAAGAGCTGAGGACACTGAACACCTGGAGCCCCTGTGGCAGTCCAGGACTGTGACTGGAGACCCCACACTAGATTGAGAGAAGCAAGTCACCTCTACATTTTTACCAAAATACAGTCTACTGCTGTTCACACAATGTGGTGTTAGACACTGTGCTTACTGTCATTTATTCTGAGCTTCCCATTGTGCCTGAAAACTGCACAGTGCATAAAAAAACCCATATGTTTTTGAAAAAATACTTAGTTTAAGGGAATGTCTATTGAATTCCCTGGGCACGATTAACATCAGAAAATGACTGATGTTTGTTATTCTGTAACAAAACCCCAACACCTAGTGTGAGAGGGACGTAGGTTCAGACAAGATGGAGATTCCTTGCTGGACTACAGGCCCCAGAATGCCGTGGGGATCGAGCCGCTGCCCTTCGTCACCTGACCAGCTGGCGCAAGACAATTGGTCATGTGACAATTTAAAATGCAGGAAGCTTAGGCTTGCAGCTGTCAGTCAAGCTGTTGTGTGGGATCAGAGGGCAGGTCCTCTGCAGTTCACCCTCCCTGGGGCAAGGGAGAAGGCACTGACTGACCAAGGAACCCAGAGAACTGTGAGCTGTTTGAAAGTCTTCTGTGAAGAGTCTGAGGTAGTTTAAAGCCTGGCTGCAATAAAGAGGGACTGGAAGAATCCAGTTAGCAGCTCAAAAAGGAAGTAGGATTTTGTTTTGAGTGGTGTTTTGGGTTTGTATTTTCCTATAACGTAAACCAGAGCACCTCTCTCCACCTCAGGTTGCCCTGTGTGTCACAGCTACCTGGAGGAAATGGAGGGTGTCCTTGACTTGCAAGAGCTGCTCCAGCTCTGCCTCCCTCCTCCTGAGCTGCTCCATCTCCTTCTCCAGCCTCCCAACGACGGCCTCGGCCTCCCTCGTCGCCCTCCGCTCCTGCTCGGCAATCTGCTCCACGACTGGGCCGCGCATCCTCTCCACCGCGTGCGCCAGCTCGCCGAAGATCTCCGCGCTCTCCGCCAGCGCCTCCCGCGCAGAGCTCTGCTCGCGGGATGGGAAACATACCTCAGCTCGGAGGCCAGGGTGCTGCCAGTCTGAGCAGAAATCTGACTCGCTGAGCACGTCAGGCCCCGATCGTGAACCACTGGCACCCCGTCCAGTCCTGCACCCTGTGCTTCTGGGATGGGCTGAGGAGGATCCAATTACCAGAAGGTCCTGCCAAGCACCTGCTTACATTGTCTGTGTTATGTGCATTTAATTGAATTACATTTAGCTTATTGTAACACAACGGGGGCTCAGGCGGGCGCCCTTGCCGCATTAGGTCGGCCCCCCACCGTCAGGGGCTCAAACCCGGGACTCTCGCGTCACTCTGCAGGGACCCAGCCCGGTGAGCCAAAGAGAGATCTCTCCACAGCCCAGTAGCTGTAGTCCTGCTATCACAGGGAAGGGCGGCGACGTCACCTGCTCTGGTACGCCGGCTCTTACACAGTGCCTGTCGGCCGTAAGCGTTACACTATGTATTCTCATCATTTAGACTGTGCCATAAACCTATGCACGAATTAAATCCCACCTTGTGCGTATCAGTGCCTCCCAGACAGGTAACTCGCCTGCTCACTGGAATCTCTGCACTCTGGGAGAGACCGGACAGCCCATCCCAGACAAAGTTCAGGTCCTGCTCCGAACAGGAGTTTTCCTGCGAAAGGGCTCGTTCTTGGAACGCGCCGTCCTGCGTGCTGTTGCTCACATAGTTTTGTGTTGATTCCAAGTCTTGTGAGCCCGCAGATCAGAAACGACTTTCACCTCCTCGTGACGCCTGTGAATGTGTGATTCTCTCGCCGGTAGAAAAGCCCACCTTGACTGACTCCACGCCCTGTCTCGCCCTCTGCAGCTCTTCCCTCCTCTGCGGGGTTGTGTGTCGGATTTCCATCAGCATTCCCGCCAGCTGCTCCTGTTGAGACACAGGCACGGCTGAGCAGCGACAGCGCTGACGTCTCCCGTCTCCTCGCTGCACCCCGTCGCCTGACCTGCGTTTCCTGGCCACACGTCGGGGTGTGAGCCCCTCCTGGGGATTGATCGTGTCAATGAAAGAACTTCTTTACCGACTCTTAACACAGGAGGGTTTGATAAGGTCAGGCCACTTTCATCAGTACTTTAATATGTATTTCTTAAACTAAAATTTCTCAAAATTATAAAAAAAAATTAAGAAATAAAATACTAAATTTCCACTAACCAGAGTGTGGTTTGGTCCCCAGGTTACACAGAAAAGGCAGGATTACCCTCAGTATAGAATTCAAGTGGGATAGTAATTAGAATGTACACATAAACAGCACATACCTCGCTAACACACACAAGAATATTTTTTTCCATACAATGTTTTTTTACTTGCAGTGTTTGTCAAGAGTGGCAATGCCAGTTGCAGTTAAATATCTGAATCTGCGTTCTCCTGCTGATGTGGACGGGCTGAGTGAGACCCCGTGGGACAGGCCAGCTCTCCTGCAGCTGGTTCCCACACTCCTCCAAACCGGACTTGTCCACCAGCACAAAGACTCAAACCTGCCCAGAGTCTAGTGTGCCTGTCCAGCTCACGGTGAGCCTCAGTGTCTGCTCTCTACCTGCTTCAGGGCCCTCTGCTCCTCCACGGGGACGGTGTCGTGGTCTCGGTGGCCGTGCAGGGTGCACAGAAGGCAGATGCACACGAGGTCGGTCCGGCAGTAAACCTCCAGAGCCCGGCCGTGCTGTAGGCACAGCGCCCCCTGCAGGCGCTCCGCGGGGCTGACCAGCCTGTGCCCAGCGAGGACGCGAGACTCCTGGTGGGGCCTCAGGTGTGGCGCGCAGTAGGAGGCCGAGCACACCACACAGGACTTCACGGCGCTCAGCTTCGGACCCGTGCAGACGTCACACAGCACCCCCATGGGCCCGGCCCGGCTGGGGCTTGGGGCCGCGGGAGGGGGAGGGCCCGGGCTTGGGGCCGAGGGAGGGGGAGGGCCCAGCCCGGTCCTCCTCAGACTGTCGATGACCTCTGCCAGCACGGTGCTCTTGGCCAGGACAGGCCTGGTGCTGAAAGCTCTGCGGCACTGGGGACAGCGGTACAGCCCTTCGAGGGCACTCTGATCCCAGTGGTGCTGGATACATTCCTGGCAGTAGCTGTGCCCGCAGGGAGTAGTGACCGGCTGCTTCAGGATACAGAGACACACAGGACACAGGAGCTGGTCCTCCATCCACTGGCCACTTGCCATTCTCTGACCACACGCAGCAGGGCTGTACGAGAGCAAGCCTGGGCAAGAATACAGGACTCGCCCTCGGCTCGGGACTTATATACAGCCGGACACACCCCTCTGGCCCAGTGCCGAAACTCCTGAACAACAGGGGCTGGAGAAGCTAAAAATGTGATCCGGTGACTTGGAAACTGGGCTGACAGGAAATAAACTCTCACCTAGAACGTGTGGGAGATTAGGAGATCAGAATCAGGTGTCACATGGCTGTCGGTTAAGGTGGTTTTTGACAAGAAAGCAGGTTTGCCTGCTGATGTCAGACACTTATAACTACATAATCAGAGGACATCTTTATAGATAATTCTCGTTCACTAACAGACTCTACAGGCTTGGGTGCTGTGAAATTTGAAGGAAACCCCGATTGCTCTGACAAAAAAATGCAGAACCCTTCCGCCCTGGTGTGACAAGCAGCTAGACCAGTGAGGAACACTAACCCAGTGCCCCAGTCTGGCAATGGGTAAAACCAGCATTGAGGGGCCAGATGCTCATTTTATCCTGTCAGGGCACTGTAGACGTGAGGGACCAGATGTGGAGGACTGAAACAACCCTCAGCCAGCAACCGAGAGATTAACAAGAACGTTTCCTTGTAGACTGGAGCATTTAGAAACATTGCTTACACGGACACCAGAGAAGTGGAATTCACCCGGTATTTTTCAAAGTAAGAAGTTAACGATGTGGTTTAGCGTGTGATCGTTTTAAGCTCCGACAGGTCAGTGAGTGGGAGCGGTATGGGGCCGTGGTAGTGAGCGCAGCCGCCCGACAGCCCCTCCTGCGCCCGGTCGGCTCCTGTGCTCTTGCCTGGGGTTGAGGTGGCTCCAGCAGCAGGTGTTTTTTATGCTGATGGTGCCAGTCCTGATGTGTGACACCGTACAAAATTTCCCCCAGGCACTTTCCGACACCTCCAGCTCGGCTGCATTCCTGACAGGCAGGCAGGCTCAGACCCCTCCCAGAGACGCAGCCGAGCTCGATGTGGAAGTGCTGCTCCCTGCCCTGGACACTACAGGGGTCAGACCCGCCCTCAGAGGCCGCTGTGAGAGTACTGTCCTGGGGACAGGCTCCAGCTTGGCTGTGACCCATGGCATAAAGCAGTCAGAAAATGCAGGGATGGATTTTCAGTCACCTGAGTTTATTTTAGATTTGAATACTTTAGAGACGCATCTAAAACCTCTGGACACCCCAAGTAGGCATGACGCAGCATTAAGATAAGTTGTCACATGTAGGAATGGTGCAGAGATGTGTTTTGCCACATTGAAAAAACAGCTTACAAAGAGAAACAAAGAGACTGCAATCTAAATTAGTTTATTCTTGAGTGAGAAGGTTGTTCTCAGTGTTAATTAACAGAGCAGTTCAGGTTAAAGTCCATCATCAAACAATTTTCAAGAAATGTTAAAGATGGCATTTATTTCCATTTCTAACTATAATTTCAGAGGCCAATATTTAAAAAGGATACTGCATCACGACCCAACCACAGCTTGATCACAATTATCACAATGGCATTATCAGGTTTTACAGCATTAAAGAAATAACACTGTCTTCATTTTGTAGTGGGTAGGCGCTGCTTTTCAGTTCAAAAATCATTTTGCCATCATAAAAAATATTTTCAAGGCAAATCAGAACAAAATAAAATAATAAAAACGTTTTTTTCCCCAATGTGTGGAAGCTGACCAGACAGGTGCATACAGACAGTGCGCTGAATGCGTCTGTGTACTTTCACTGGACGCTCAAAAACCAGGGAAGTTTGAATCAACAGAGCCGGAGAAAGTTACAGATAAGACCAGTCGGCCCCTCTCACTCACTTGCCTGTTAGTAAGTTACATACTGATGCCCAACAAAAACAGCAGTCCACGCTTCTCATCAAGAGAAATGTTCGTTACTTTTTAAATCGTGAGAACGTTTGTTGACAGTTTGAGTGGTACTACTACTTGGGGTAAAATAAGAAGCGATTTCATTAAAACGCGAGGAGTTGAACATTTAGAATTTGAACTGAATTATCATTGTCAAAATGAGTAAAGAATCTGTCTCAAACGTCTACTCAAAAAGAGCACTTTACTGAACACAGAAACAGCGGAAGACATGACTGTGCCCTACCTCAGTAATGGTGATCACTCGGTTTATGGCGGCATGAGTGGAGCTGTCCCAGCTCTGCAGGATACTGCCCGCTGAAAGAGCTGTCCCGCTCCAACAATCAAAGGAGAAGAAAAACCGGGATCGGCTCTGTGAAGGACAGGGCACAGCCAGGAAGGCCCAGGGCCATCACAGCCATCTGCACAATAACCAGCTGGCAGGGGCTACAGCAGAAGAAGAACCCACCTGCACACCAGCCCTCCGACTGAACAAGACCCGCCTGCTCACAGGGATCAGGCTCACATGCTGAGAGCCGCGAGAGGAAGTCACTGCCGTCTGTGGGACTCAGTGTTTCAAGTCGGCTTCAGAGTGGAGGAAGTCTGGTGGCTCAGACAGAACCTTGTTAACTTAAGAAAGCTGCTGGTTCAGACTGAGGGTCCACACTGCTGACTGATCACTTACCTGGCAATACACTGCCAACAGTTTCCCATCCCTGAAGCTGATTATTAAGTCTCAATTTCCCAGAAGAAAAGCACAATGTCCTGCAGCGCTAGGATAACACTGGCAAGACCTCTGGAGAACACTGATCCTGCGGCCGGCGACCCTGGCCAGCAGGAAGAGAGGCGGGACGTCCCACAGCTGTCTGTCCAGAGGCTGATCAGGACTGAGAGTCAGCACTGCCAGCCCCGTGTCTCCGCTCAGAGGGGTCAGAGCCGATCCCAGCTCTCAGTTTGACAGTGTGACACCTTTCACAGAGGAAATGCATCATGATTCTTTCATCTGGGTTTTTGTTCACATCTTTTGTTGTTTTGTTTCATAGCAGTTCAAAATATTTAAATCTGTCAGACCTGAGTGTTGTTTCTTTTGTGCATCAGTACACATTCAAGATCACACAAATGCCTCTTTTTGAATGATCGCAGAAAATCAGCTTTAAAAACACTAGTAGAGCAATTTGTTACAAATACCCACAAAACTTCATGTAAAAATGATCCTCCTTCTTCAGTTTGAAATACACTCAGTTGTCCCTCATATCCTTTATTTCTTTTTTTTTTTCTCACAGACCTTTCTGGACCCAGTAATCAGAAAGTTTCCTCTGTTCTAGACTAAAGGATACTGGTCTCTTTGATACTTATATACTTACAGGTCATGCCTTTTGAACACTCCAGGGGGAGGAAGAACTGCAGTGCCGTTGTGCCACCTAGAGGTTCAGAGCAAAAGCTACTGTTTTTACCAGCCAGTTTGAGACCCATCCAATCAGCTCAGGAAGTGGTTCACAAGCCCAGAGAAGGGGGGAAACATTACAGTCTTGCCTTATACCAGCCGCCAGCCCATCTTGTGTCTGAGCAGAAGTCATGGAGCTCATCGGGAAAACTTGGAACATCTGCTGTTGTTTTTTTATCTGGGCTTTGAATCAACACATGATCTGGGAAAAGCCAGAGCTCACCTGAGTTCGCTGGCCACAGACACAAGGAGGTTGGACCACTTTAATTAAATAGTCACTAATCACTTGAAGTAATGTTCTTTGAAGTGGGTCAAGGGTGTGCTCTTATTCCGAACTTCAGATTTTTATTGTTGCATTAAAAAAAAACACCCCCTGTCCTGTTGGACAGGTAGGACTTGGCCAGTGCATCGTGTAAGGCAGTCCAGTGCAGAAGAGGGCACACCCTGGTGGAGCAGGTGCTGGGACGCCAGAAACTCCCACATCTCCCCCACACTGAAGCAGTCTGCCGCTGAGCCTGGTGAGCTGTTCTTCATCCCATCGAGCAAAGCCACACAAAAACCTGTCGGAGAGTCAACAATAAATAAACTGTATTGCTCAGGAGGTGGTGATCTCTGTCTGGGTGGTACCCGCCCTCGCAGTACGGGGGCTTGTGCTTGACCTCTCAGGGGGGCTCCGCCGGCGCAGCAGGGACGCCCCGATCTGCGGCGGCGCGCGGGGAACGCGGCGCTCAGGAGCGGCCGTCAGTGCAGGATGAACTTCTGCTCGCACTCGAAGCAGTAGTACGGCTCGTCCTCGGTGTGCACCTTCTGGTGCTTCTTGAAGTAGTTGGACTGCTTGCACTGCTGCCCGCAGACGCTGCACTGGTAGGTCTTCTCGCCGGCGTGGATGAGCTGGTGCCGGTGCAGGTTGCTGAAGCTCTGGAAGACGTCGCCGCACACGGCGCACTTGCAGTAGCTCTCGCCGGTGCACTGCCGCTGGTGGTACTCCAGGCTCCGCCGCAGGGAGAACCGCTTCTCGCAGGTGCCGCAGTGGAAGGGCTTCTCCCCGGAGTGCATCTGCTGGTGCCGCTTCAGGTGGTCCATCCTCTTGTAGGCCTTGTCGCACTCGGAGCAGGCGTAGGGCTTGTGGTCCGGGTCCACCTGCTGGTACCGCGTGAAGCTCATGTGGGGGGTGAAGCCGTCGGCGCGGATGGTGAAGTGGTGGGGCCGCTTCCGCTGGGGTGCCCTCGCCACCCCCGGGGCCCCCCCGGACCCCGCGGACGACGGGGCCGCCGCCACTGCCGCACCCTGGCCCGTCTCGAAGAAGGGCTCTGCGTGGAAGACCTCTTTGTAGACCACGTGCCGGCTCTGCAGGTGCTGCGGCAGCTCGCCGGCGTCGGGGCCTTCCTCGTAATTCTCCTGCGGAAGGAAGCAGCCGAACTCCGAGCCCCTGGGCTGGGCGAGCGGGAGGCGCAGGGACTCCAGCCCCGACAGCTCCTCCTTGAGGTGCTCCGGCGTGGCATCGGCATGGACACACTCCACTTCACACAGCTCCTCTTTGATCTGGACACATTCCACCTCCCACTCCTCCTGCTTGATCTCGTCAAACTCCGGGTCGGGCAGCTCCTGCTTGATCTGCACCAGCTCCACGTCGGGAAACTCCTGCTTGAGGTCCGAGACCTCGCAGCTCCCAAGCACCGACTCCATTGCTGCGCTGTGAGCGCCGTCCGCTGCAGTACGTCTGTGCGGAAGATCCCAACAGCAGGAATTAGGCATTCCGCATGTCGGGTTCAACAGTTTGGAAACAACAGCAGAGGCACCTACACCTGCACTCACTAGCGGGAATGAGCATTCATTACAATTGCCAGATCCGTCCGTGACAAAGGGGTGAAGATTTACAAAATGTATTGAGTGAAAATTAATCAATATTTTGTAACTATACACAAATGCAGCGGGTGTATCTATATATAATGTTGCTGAATTTATGCAGAAAAATAGAAATCTGCAGAACCTGTGGGTTCATATTAAACAGAAATGCCCCAAGAGGGGAAGCCTAATAAACCACATCTATACAAAGGTCTCTGGATCATAAGAAACACACAGAAGCCACATGGAAAAGTAAAGCAAACTGCGACAGTGGCATTTATGTGTTGCCATAATTCTTTAAAGGTTTAGATTCAGAAAAGCATGAATATTACTTGGCAATTTTTATAAGAGTGTCCGCTACATTTAGATTTGAATTATCTTATCTACAGCCCCTATGGAAGTCTAGCTTGTCTTCCTAAAGCAATCTGACACCACTACTCCAACCCCGGTACCTCTTAACGATGGGTCAGTGGAGAGATGTCATTTGCACAGCCTTCCAAAGAGCAGGACTCATTCTGGGCCACGACAGCAAGTCGCTGTTGACCTGCAGGAGGAGAGAGAAATAGTTCAGATAACATCCATCCATTTAAGAGAAAGTCACAACAATTGAAATCTTTTAAAGAACATTCTAAAAAATAGGTCTTTATTTCTAAAGATGCTGAAATAGTGTCTCTGTGGCAGGTGGATGTTCTAATGTAACTTTTAATAAAACAACAAAGACATACAGAGTTCACATATTCACAGAAACCCAGAGAATCTTATCCCAGATGGTGAAAGGAAAGCCCAGCAGCTCCTCCTATCAACCAAACAAAATCACGTCACTAAATGAATTTCCTCTGTTCCAGGACCCCAGAACGTACAACCAAGACTCAGAAGTTCAAGGAGGCACCTCCTCTGTCACCAGAAAACTTTCAGCCGGTGCCAGTGTTTCCAGGAATGTGGAGAGTGACGACCCTCAACCAGACACAAATTCTCCAGATGCTCCTGGGGTCACAGCAGTCCTACAGCCCCACAGCCTAAAAGAACTGAACCTCTTCAGTCTTGAACAGAGAAGACTGATTCAAGTGGTATCTGATTCAAGCATTCAGAGATCTCACAGGTGCTGATAAACTCAACCCAAAATGACTTTTAAAATCAGTGAAACACGAATAAAAGGAAAAGTGGAATCTACAGACAAGAGCATTTAAAACCAAGAACAGGAGGCAGTTTTTCCCCTAAAGGGTTAAGGGAGTCTGGAACAAGCTGCCCAACCACGTGGTTTAAGCAGATATCCTCGCTTCTTTAACAAAAAGACAGGATGACATCCTGAGATCAATTAGCTAACTATCAAATGGGCTAAATGGCCTCTTCTTGTTTGGAATCTTCTTAAATGTAGAACTTGTTGGAAATTCGTTGTATTTACCATCGGTCTATAGAAAAATTTACTCTTTACCTCAGATACAAGTCCCGCTTATTTACATACCTGATAACCTCACACGACAGTGTCAATATGTCACTTATTCATATAGATGTCGCTGTTTCAAAACAGAAATATTAACTAGACTTAAAAGGAGGACAGATTGAAGAACTACCCGTAAAACAAAAGAGTAACAAAAAGATTTTACACACAGGAGCGTCCTGTGGAAAATACCGTTACATTTCAAGAGGCACCTCTGTGCCGTCACACACAGCAGTCTGGGAAAGTGTCTGCAAGAACCGGACAGGAAAATAAACCGGTTTAAAGGCGCCTCCGGGGTCTGGGCTCTCCGCGCCTTCAAACTTCACACCGCGGCTCCGCGTCCAGCCCGTCCGGGAGCCGCCAGCCCGCACGCACAAGCCCAGACACCGCTGCCAGCCTCTCTCCCGACTGAGGAGAGCGCGTTTCTGAGTTCATACACATGAAGGAGTTTGTTATTGTTATTTGTGTTTTCGCAGGTTCTTAAACGCCGTTCCGATCAAACACAAATCCCGTACGAGGTCGCAGTAAAGGCGAAGAGATCTCGCAACGATTGCAATAAGTTAACTTTCTGCAAACAGTATTATATACATATATTTTACAAATACTCACAGTCCTGTTTCCAGTGCAGTTCAGAACCCACTATTCAAATTCAAATATTTTATTTACGTGCGATCTTTCCTAGTCCCTATTCCGTCTTCGTTACTTCTCTCGGTGTCCGTCAACAACACCGTCCCCCTCTGCTCCAGGCGGAATACAACCAACAGTTCCGTGTTTTTTGTGTTCCTAGACACTAGTTTGGGTTGTAGTAGGGAGTGTGGCACCAATAAAATCTCTCCTACACTGTACGTCATTACTCCAAAATATGACTCACAAAGAATACTTTTCAAGATCTTCTAATTAAGGCTGAATATTATAATGCCGTGTACAGTATACAGTATGTACATGGACATGGACAATATGGTCTGCTAAATACAGTTTAAATTTGAATAATATCAAATCCATGACAATAGTAATAATTAAAAGCATTAATTATTAGTTATTATAATTCCCATAGTATGAGGGGCTTATTTTCATTTGGAACCTCTTTGTTGAAAATCCATCATGTAATTTTGATGTGGCACACCACAGTTAAAGCACAATAGTTGTGCTCTGTGCTACTGTATGTGCTGTGTGCAATGTGCTGTGTGCAGTATCTAATGTGCAGTGTACAGTGTGCTGTGTACAATATGCAATGTACAGTGTACAGTGTGCTATGTGCTGTGTACCTACAACAAATTGCTTATATCTAATAAGTTTTAATAAAAACCTTTTTTGTGAAATTTGATTAAGATAGCTGACAGGGACAAATTGTCTGACCATCAAGCTATGTATTGATAATACGCAAAGGAGCAGACTGTAGATTGTTATAAATTGCCTAATGAACTTCAAGCAACAGACAGGGGAGGAGGTTGCTCCTAACCATAGGATGAAGAAATTTGTCAGTTTAGCCAGCAGGAGGAAGTGGCTACTGAGTTGCGGTTCTTGGAACAGTTGTTTGTTACAGGTAAAAAAAAAAACTCCTGTGAGAGAAACGTGCAGAGCTCTCTTCCTCTTGTGCTCTGCTTCTGTGCTTTGACTTGATCTCTTCACCTCTGTAGCCTGGATTCCTGAAGAGAGTTGACCTTACCTGTCCGTCTTCAGTTGTGTACAGTGTGCAGTGTTCCATGTATACTGTTCGGTGTCCAGCGTGTAGTGTGCTGTCTACAATGTACTGTGTGAAGTGTTAATGTATTGTGAACAGTGTACAGTGTGCTGTGTTAATGTGCAGTGTGCAGTGTACAATGTGCAGTGTTCAGAGCATACAGTGTTAGTGTGCTGTGTTCAGTGTATACAATGTGCAGTATACAGTGTTCAGTATACAGTGTGCAGTGTGCAGTGTTAGTGTGCAGTGTGGGGTGTGCTATGTACAGTGTGCAGTGTGCAGTGTGCAGTGTGC